TGTTCAGTATATATATATATATATATATATATATATACATATACTGTATATCACCGTTATGTTCACTTTAGCTTTAGTTTCATTTTCATGGACTCTTATTATGTTTATGGACTCTTTATTATGCAAAAAATATATATAAATATAAATATATATTTTTTGGATGTAAGCATCAAAACAATGCCCTACCATATTGCAATGCATCAAAGCAGTCAATACAGCACAATGAAGAATAACTTAAAGAGGTTGCCAACGTTTACTAAATTGTGGACTAGCTTTGACTCTTGCTGCTGATTTGAACGATGCTTCCTTTTCTGATGTTCATAAACATTTTCTGTCTTTTTCCACTGTCACTCGAAATTTGTCTGTTTTGAATCGTTGTTACCAAAGGCGAGACACGTGAAGAAAAAATAAACGATCAGTTGTGTGCCGAAACACAGGCCAGATAAATCACTTCTGAAGGGCTAAACGACTGTCACACTGTCAGGTTTTGGGATTGACAACCGCATTTACTTACAGGTGTGAGTCTTGAAATGTCACGTTCACACAGCAACTTACAGTAGCATCTCGGATATTGTCTGTATGAATGTGCAACGGGAGTCAATCCTGTTTTCCTTACCAGTAACCAATAGCAACAGTGACCAAAGTAATATCAAAGATGGCGACACCCATAAAACTGAAAGGCTTATCACTTTCTGACACGACAAGAGTCCAATTGAGCCGCAAGGAAAACACGCGCTTGTGCAGCAGAGCGGCTCTCTCACACTGTATGATGTGATAGACAACTAGTTGTCCAGTTCTGTTCTGTTCACACAGCGTGGGTTTTCAGAGAATGCAGTTGGGAGTCCTGAAAATTTACGGGTGTGAGTTCTGTTACAGAATGCGGTTGTCACACCTGAAAATAACCGTACTCTGTGTGTGAACTTAACCGTATTAAGGACTCAAATACAGGACTGACAACCGTATTCTGCTGCTGTGTGAACGTGGCATTTAGAGTGGATGACATAGTGACGTCTGGGTGGCGGCCGCACCATTAGCCAATCCATACGGGCTTCAGACAATCGGAGCAAGGGATGAACCTATGAAAGAAAACTCTTATTTACATCACGCCTGCACTTAGTCATGAGATGATTCACAAGTAGTGGTCCACCGATATTGTTTTTTTGACAACCGATGCCAATATCTTAGAAAGCAGGGTGGCCGATGGCCGATATAATGCCGATATAATTTTATTTATTTTAATTAATATTTAAGAAATTTGAAATCATTTGAAAATTGATTAAAAAATAAATGTGTTAAATAAACATACTTTAGATGACAAAGTATTTTTCACAAATAAATAAATATTTAATAAAAATATAATTAAAAAGGAAGTAAACACTGTAACCAACAGGGCACTCAGTATTCTGGGAAGTTTGTGTGCATTAATCATATTTTCTTTCAAATAAAGCCAAGGTAACACTCATTTTACATGCAGCACACAGTGAAAATGACATGAATATGACAGTGGGCAAATGCATAAAGCGCAGCATAATTTAAAATCACAAGTTTAAAGTGTGTCAATCGGGCGTCTCCGTCATGCAGAGAGCACGCGGTCATGCAGGATACAAATGCACACTTCACACGATCTCACAACTGGATCCGACTAAGTTTGCAAGGTTTTTGAAATTAGATGTTCATTAGACATTCAAAAATTTGTTTAAATGATATAAATGCGTATTTGCTGAATGCTGACGACAAACAAGAAAGTATTATAATGTTTGCCTTTCTATTACTAATAATATCAAAGCAATCGTTATAATAGTGTCAATCGGGCGTCTCCATCATGCAGAGAGCACGCGGTCATGCAGGATACAAATGCACACTTCACACAATCTCACAACTGGATCCGACTAAGTTTGCAAGGTTTTTGAAATTAGATGTTCATTAGACATTAAAAAATTTGTTTAAATGATATAAATGCGTATTTGCTGAATGCTGACGACAAACAAGAAAGTATTATAATGTTTGCCTTTCTATTACTAATAATATCAAAGCAATCGTTATAATACTTTTTTTATACATTTTAATTCCTTTGTTTAACCGTTCTATCTGATTATTAGACAGACGTATTAGATAATCCATATTAGACAGAACTGAAGGACAACAGCGAACAAGAGGGAGATTGTAAGCACTGTGTGCTCAGGCGCTGCCGTTCTCAGTGCCGTCAAAATAAAAGTCCCACCTAGAACGCATCGGCCAAACAGGAAAACTTATCGGCCGATGCAGATATTTGAAAAATGCCAAGTATCGGCCCATATATCGGCCTTGGCCATATATCGGTCGACCACTATTCACAAGTGTGCAAAACTGCACTTAATAAAGTGCACTTTCAGTGGTGAGTAAATTTTGACAAACTAAATTGTTTCTGAATGGCCATTGCGTTCATTGGCTACATTGCTCAACACGGCAAAAACATGTAAATAGCTGTCCAGAGCGCAAACACAAATACGCACTGGATAGTTTGCCAGATCTTTAGTTGCTTTTGCTTTCATTTGAGGGTATTTAGCACCCTATAGTACCCCCGTAGAACCAATTGTGATTGGGTACCAGTATTTATCAAAATTTCTAACGATGTATCCTAAATTTGTGTATTTTATTGATATTTATAATCAAATAAGGACAGTATGTGATGTTGAGAAATGAAACTGATGCAATCAGAGCTGAGTATATATGAGCATCACAGCTCAATGCATCATGCACTAACTGCACCACAACTTTGTTGATTTGAGTGTCTGAAAGCATCACATTGAACAAATGCTGTAGGTCTCAGCCAGTTTTAGCCCAGCGCTGGACGTCATAGCTGGTGTATTTATGGGTGGCTGTATGACCAGGCCAGACGCAGCATTATATAAACAGGCTTAGCACACAGGAAGTGCCCTGGAAGGATCGGATGGTATTAGAGATGCTGTAAATCCTGTTCATTCATCAGCATTAGATCCACATTCACATTCTCAGCCAGGCGCTGGTTCATTTACATATCTAAATATAAAATACCGCTGTATGTTTATGAGGTGATGTGAATCTACTTTGTGTCTGAATGCTGTGTTCTGATTCACCAGGTGTTCAGACAGAGCGTTTGTCTGTGTAATTCCCTGCTGATGTCATTTAGCAGATGATGTCATTTGTGTTTGAACAAAACAGAGCTCGGTTCTGATTGGCTGGATGTGACATCATGTTGGAAGGTGGTATAACAAATAGTTGTGGATTGTTTTGAGGCCATTTATAAAATTATTTTTATAAAATTATCATTTTAAAAAATAACTAATGTCAAAAAAAGGTTTTATACTTTTCATTCAAATTATTTTAAAAATCACTGATGATCACAAATGGTGGTGAGTTGAGTACCAAAATGGACTTTTGTGTTTGAAGCTCATAATGATTTTCTTTACGCAGGGTTTTAGAGTGTCAGGATCTGCCGATAGTGAATGGCCAGTGTGATCCGTACGCCGCTGTGTCTTTACTTGGCCTCTCCAGGTAAGATCAAACCTGAAAGCTCATCCAGTTTACAAGTGCTGATTAAGTCTGTTCAATGGCACGGTTACCACCGCCATCAGGACAGCAGTTCAAGGCTTAGTGTGTGTCCTCAGAAAAATAAATGTACCTCATCACTACATGCATTGCTTTAGAAATGTAGTATTTCTCTGAGATTAACCACAACCAGAATTTTCAACTATTGAAGCTTTTCAGTGTCACGTCCCAAGCCAAGCCCTATAACGAATACTTTACACAGTGAAAACTAAATAAAACAAACCTTCAATTATTGATGATTTAAAAATCTAATTTCTTTCATTTAAAAATACACACACACACATATTATACATATAATTATTAATAAATACATTACCATTTAAATGTTTGGGGGTTGGTAAGATTTTTAAATGTTTTTTTAAAGAGGTCTCTTCTGCTTACCAAAGCTGCATTAATTTACAGTCACTTTTGATCAATTTACTGCATCCTTGATCAATAAAAAATACTAATTTAAAGGTGACATATCATGAAAATCTGACTTTTCCAGGTTTTAAGTGCTATAATCAGGTCCCTGGCGCATCTGCCAACCAAGGAAATGTGAAAAAGATTAACCCAGTAACTTTGTTTTGGTAAGCCTTTTTCCCCAAGCGTCTAAAAAAAAATGAGCGCGTCTGATTTTTTTGGTGACGTGGCAAAGGGATCTCATTATAATATTACCGCCGCTTAATCTGTAAGTTTCCACCCACGGCGCCGTCATTTTGATTTCACAAGCGACAACGGTGTACCAGCTCTAATGCCATGGCGAAAGTTTGAGCAAAACATGCTAACTGTTCTGTCTTTGGCTGCACAGACGAGCACAGAACACTATTTACAGTCCCAGCCTCAGAGGAGACAAGAGAGCAGTGGACTTCTTGATTTATTTACTGTATATTGCTGCTGCCACACAGATCTAAAATAAACCTGCGATTTATTTCCCAGCTGTTTACCTTCACAGACATAACCGAATGTTTTGTAACTCGTGTGTGTTTTTAACGTAAACTTATGTGTGAATGAGAACTTAGTTTAGTACTCACATGCTGTGACAGCCGCTTTCTGTCCGTGTGTGCTCTCAGAAAACCGTGTATCAAAAGTTTAAACTAATATGGTTTAAAATGCATTATTTCAGCGCGATAAACATGATAATCAGAACCAAAACAGATGTTTTTTAGCAGGTCCGAGCTGTAATGGCATAGCTCTATTCTGGAAAAGGGGGCGGGGAGCAGCAGCTAATTTGCATTTAAAGAAACCGGCACGAAAAACATTGTGTTTCTGCTTCCACTCAAAATAAGCATTTTCAAAATGTTATAATAAATTATCTGTGGAGTATTTTGAGCTGAAACTTCACAGACACATTCTGGGGACACCAGAGACTTAAATTACATATTGTGAAAAGGGGCATAATATGTCTCCTTTAAAAAAATATATATATTGACCCCAAACTTTTGAATAAGTGTAAACTCAACTTAGCTGTTGCTCATACCACCTGAAATAGCTGCAAATCACTGTCAGTGTAACATATCGTAGCATAACATAAATGCATTTCTCACCCCTCACAGGTCAGAAGCCAAGAAGACGAAGGTCAAACGGAAAACCAACAATCCTCAGTTTGATGAGGTCTTCTTTTTTGAGGTAGGAACTCATTGTCCTGTCTGAGGACGTGGCCACTCAGTGTTTTAACAGCATGTGACATGTTATCCAGCATTATGATTCAATGAAGTGACACTGTGACACCTGTTAAATAGAGTTTGCATGATGTCTGCTCCTGATTTTTTAAAATCATTTTATTTGTATTTATCACTGTGCATCCCATCCAGTGCTCACATTAGTGCTGAACAAATGTGTTTTTTTTCCTGTAGATGATTCTTAAACTACAGTATTACTGTGTTTTCCAGAAAGAAAAAGTCTAAATTGCACCAAAAAAAAAACATAAATTGCATCGGTATAAGTCACATTTTATTATTACATTCAGAAATAATGTAAAATACTGGTAAATAAAATGAAAATTTCAGACACTATAGATATGTATCTTAGTTCCACTTACTTAACAACAAATCTTTTACATTTAACCATATTCAGAACAAAAATTAAAGTATAAAACAAACATTATAGTGACAGTTATAGTTTTTTTCAAAAGTGAAACTGAAACTTCTGACAAGTGGGAAATTAATTATGCAAATAAACTTGGACGCATATATGTCTCTTATTCAGCACAAATTCAAATATTTTGCATGCTTGTTGTAATTTGCATTATAAAGTCACAGCATGTTTCAGATAATAATAAAAAAAGGTCAAATACAGTCCACAACCCAACAGTAAATATTTATTTATCATCACTAACCTTAAAGCACTATATTAATTCAGTGCTATAAAAGTTGATCAATGTTTTTCCCATAACTGAGCTGAACTTTTGAGGTCAATATACAGTACATGTGAACATAATGAAATACTTACCAGGGTTATTATAGTTAACAAAAAAAAACAGCCTTATTAATAAAATAATTTAAGTCCTAATATATAAATATAAATATACAGTGCCCTCCACTAATATTGGCACCCTTGGTAAATAAATCTGCATGGTAAATAAATCTGCATCCCTTTGATCTTTCATTCAAAATAATTCACAAAATTCTAACCTATCATTGAAGTAAAACAAGGGAAAGGGGGGGGGGGGGGAGCTCAAAACTGAAACTTCTGACAAGTGGGAAATTAATTATGCAAATAAACTTGGACGCATATATGTCTCTTATTCAGCACAAATTCAAATATTTTGCATGCTTGTTGTAATTTGCATTATAAAGTCACAGCATGTTTCAGATAATAATAAAAAAAGGTCAAATACAGTCCACAATCCAACAGTAAATATTTATTTATCATCACTAACCTTAAAGCACTATATTAATTCAGTGCTATAAAAGTTGATCAATGTTTTTCCCATAACTGAGCTGAACTTTTGAGGTCAATATACAGTACATGTGAACATAATGAAATACTTACCAGGGTTATTATAGTTAACAAAAAAAACAGCCTTATTAATAAAATAATTTAAGTCCTAATATATAAATATAAATATACAGTGCCCTCCACTAATATTGGCACCCTTGGTAAATAAATCTGCATGGTAAATAAATCTGCATCCCTTTGATCTTTCATTCAAAATAATTCACAAAATTCTAACCTATCATTGAAGTAAAACAATGGAAAGTGGGGGGGGGGGGAGCTCACTATGAAATAAATGTTTTTCTCTAGTTCACGTTGGCCACAATTATTGGCACCCAATTATAGCAATGTCCTTTTCCCAAGATAACAGCTTTCTCCTATAATGCTTGAGTTTGGAGAACACCTGACAAGAGATCAGAGACTATTCATCCATACAGAATTGCTCCAGATCCTTCAGATTCCCATCTCCATGTCGGTGCCTCTTCTCTTCTCTTCTCTTCTCTTCTCTTCTCTTCTCTTCTCTTCTCTTCTCTTCTCTTCTCTTCTCAGAAGCTTAATTTTGTGCACAGTGACCCATTTCTGTGTTGATTTTGGCATTATAGGATAAAACTCAGGGATAATGAAAGGTTATAATTTTGTGTTTTTTGAAAGAAAGATCTAAAGGATAAACAAAACAAAACAAAATTAACTTTAACAAGTATTAAATATAAAATCTAAAAATATATATTTTTTTATTAAATTTATACTATTTATTCAAAATCAAACAAATAAAAAATCTAAATATGAATAAAACTATAATAGTATCTTGATACTAAAATAACACTGATACTTGTTTCAAATAAATATGACGTCAGGAAGATCAAACATGTGCACACAAAGAATTTGATAAGAAGATAGACAGTGAAAGCATAATATTTAAATTTCAGTAAACTCAAAATGAAGTCTTGAGAGTGATCTGCTGTTCATGATGTTTATTCTGGTTCAGTTGGAAGCATTTAATATGGAAATAGATCATATCTGAGCTTTCAGGTGTTTATAGTTAAAACAAACACTCGTGGTTTCTCACTTTAACACTTTCCACACCCTACAACACACAACATTCACAGGCAGCCGGGCAGATCTGTCCTCTAAATAATGCAGCAGTATAGTAGTGATGATCTTCTCTACTAACCTTGCTGCTTTGAGGTTTTGGGGTGCCAGCAGTAGTCTGTGCAGTGTTTCCCATACATTGATTTATTTGTGGCGGCCCGCCACAATATCAAAACTGACCACCACAGACTGGTTTTCCACAAGACTTTAATTTCGTTGAATAAACATGAGCTCTGCACGTTTCAAAATCAAAAAGTGTTGCGGGTGTTTTTATATGAATGTATCTTTGAAGGGAACGACTGTCTTCAGAAAAGTTTCGATGTCATTTTTATTTCTGCTGCTGGCAGAGAATGAATTTGCATTTTCAATCAGCCCGTCTGCTGTTTTCATTCAGACCAACGCGAAAACCCACTGATGTTTTTACGCAGCAAACACACAGAGCAGAGTTGTAAATGTGAACCGATATATACATATTTCCACCAGGGGAAGTGCCGCCACACATAGAGTGTAAGTCTGTGGGAAACACTGCTGTGGTTTACCACAGTAAAGGTGAGAGTGTCCACACCCTGCGCAGTGATCTGTGTGTTTCCTGAGGGTTTTGTGTTCATGTTATTAGATGTGACAGCTGGATCCTCTGTTTCTGGACAGCATGAGTCTCTCTCTCACACACACACACACACATTAACACACACATGAGCGTGGCTCTTAGGACAACGAGACAAGAGTGTGATTCATTGTCACACAATCCGCTCCATTTATCATGCAGCCCTCACAGCCGCAGTCTTTCCCACCCACACTGGACACACATCTTCATCATCATCAACAGCAGCTCAGTGTGAAATGAACATCCTCACCAGACGTGCATTGTTCACTCATGATCAAACAGGACGTGTGTCTCTCGTGTATGTATTTATAGATTTTAAAAAAATTTTCAGTTTCAATTAATGCAGGGGCGGAGCTAGGGTTGGCCACCTCACTCACAACTTCTGCTTCTGTCACTTTTTCTCTTGACAAGAAGTGCATTTATTCAGTAGCAGAACGACTGAGAACGGTAAATTTTTTCAGTTTAACGTGTTAAAAATATTTACCGCAATTAATGCAGGGGCGGAGCTAGGGTTGGCCACCTCACTCACAACTTCTGCTTCTGTCACTTTTTCTCTTGACAAGAAGTGCATTTATTCAGTAGCAGAACGACTGAGAACGGGAGACGTTTCAGACGCGCGCTCCACTTCACTTCAGCGCCAGGCGCGAGTCAAAACTGTAGCCTGTATCCTTTCATATCAAAGTACGAAATAAACTACGTGCATGCAAAGTCGTGGTCAGTTAAGTCATGAAGTTACCAAAAAGGCGATTAAAGCTGCCTTAAAACTGTGCATGCATTTAATATATTTTATATGAGTCACATTTAAGAGCATGTCTCTGAAATGGTTTTCAAAACTGTCCCGGAGCAGCCCAGCACTGTCTCACTCATCTAACACGCCCGATTTAACTCGTCAGCTCATTAATAGAGACTTTAAGACCTGAAGTGGGTCAAAGAAATAGCAGCCAAAACAACCTAATAACCAGCTGCTCTGATGACTATTAATCAAAGGACAACGAAAAAAAAAAAGAGGAAAAAATAAATTTTATACCTTTAATGATTCATTTGATAACTTAAATTTCGATTTCTGTATATTTCTGCTGAAGAGCACATGTAAATATTACATTTATTATAATAGGTTTATGTGAAGATTGTTTTAAGTTCACTTCGTGAGGCCGTTTGATCGACATGTCAAACAACCAATCACAGTTCGTTTCGTTTCAGCTTCACGTTTCGGGGCGTGGAAATGTCGCCACAAAAACAGATTGTGCATAGTGTAAAACTCTCGGACGTATTTGAAAGATTCTGTGCCGCAAACTTTAAATATTTCACATACTTTTGAAAATTCAGCGTTTAGTTGATCCTGATAAGCGCTCGTCATCACAGTTGTAAACACGACGGCTTTCTTCTTTCGTGAGGGGGTTTGGCATCACGGCATCTTTGTTTCCAGGCGGAATGTTACAGAACGTGACACACACGTCTCCCGGAAATCCTGTATAATTCAACCAATCCGATGATGACTTCGAAACTCATGAAGTGTTTCCACTTTTGTGTGCCGTATGCATCAGACGTTTAGCCAACGTTCCGTGGGCGTGACGTCTGAGGCTGAGACTACATTGATACTGGCCTTCAGTCATAAAAAAAGATGCCATTAAACAAATATTAAAAAATATACTGTCTTTATGTTTTTTGTACATTAATTTGAAGATTGAATGTGAAATTATTGCAAGATAAAAGTATATTTAAAAACTTTAATGTTAGGTGGGATTAATCACGATTAATTTCAGAAAAATGTGCGATTGATTAGTTAATTTGTTTTATCGTTTGACAGCACTAATATATATATATATATATTTATATACTATATATATATATATATATATATATATATATATATATATATATTGTTTTAGTTCAGTTACAAAAAATATTTTAATAGTTTAATTTTAGTTTACTATAACTTATTAGTCAACTTAAAAATTTAACTACAACATGATTTAAGTAACATTCTCTATTCAAAACCTGCAAAACACCTGGTTAATGAAAGTTCTATTCAATTTAAATGTAAAACAAATTCACTTGTTAAATATCTTTGAAGAAAATATTCATGAAATATGAAAGCGAATATTGTACAAACGTGTTTTAAACATAGCCTATATGTTCAGATGTTCTGTTTCAAATATTTCTTAGCCAAAATGTAGACATTCCATTTATGCTGCGTTCATGCCTTATCGTAATTACTGTAATTTCAAGATGACAACACATGACATTCTACTCGGAGCTGTTCACGTCCTCGGACTCGGAATTATGCTTTTCTATGGCAACACTATCAACGCCTAAACAGAGCATGTGGTGGTCAGGTGGTACAGAGGTCACGTGGTACAAGTCGTAGTTCTCAGAAAACTCCCAGTTCACAAGTTGTAATTACGAGTTCTACAAGGACGTGAACACTTTTAACAATTTAGAATCTCGTAATTATGGAAATTCCGATATGGTGTGAATGCACCTTTAGGGTTCAACTTAAAGGGGTCATATGATGCGATAAGCTGATTGTGCATAGATAAGATCCCTGAAGTTGCAAGGACTAAAGTCTCAAAACCAAAGAGATATTCTTTATCAAAGTTAAGACTCTGCCACGCCCCCCTAAAGCGGCTCGTTCTAACTCGCACCCACATATCTACCTCACTATGTGGAAATATTAGCATAATGCAGCCCAAATGTGCACGCAAAGAAAGAAGCCGTGGTTTCAGTAACCGCAGTTAGTGTTGAAGCAGCATGTCAGGGAGACACTGTGCGTTTCTACGCAAAAGCAAAAGCACAATATTTGGCCTTCCAAAAGTAGATGCATTTAGGAATCTTTAAGATTACTTACAACAGAACAGCAATGCATTTTATGGATGACCGTTTCGTGAACCTAGGAGAGAAGGTAATTCTGACTTTGCTATGACAATCTGGCGCTTCTGAATCAGCTACTGTTTTGTTATTAGTTTAAGCATTTGCTATTGACTGTTCAAATGCGGAGTTTTGCACATCGTGTGTTTGTGTGTGTGCGTGCGTGCGTGTGAGAGAGCGAGAGAGACAGAGATCACATCACAGTGGAGTCAGCTGTCTTAAGTGTGGCTTGTGTACTGCAAACACATACCAGCTTCATCACTGTCTGTCACGCGACTCTGTTTCCCTTTCGAGCTCTGTCTTTGCATTTATTTTGAAAGATGAAGCTTGCGATTATGGTAAGGGGCGTTACATTTCCGACGAGTGCTTGAGGTGTTCGGCCAATCATAATGCACTGGGTCAGCTGGCCAATCAGAGCAGACTGCGCTTGTCGGAAGGAGGGACTTTGTAGAAAACGAAGCGTTTGAGAGAGGCGGGGCATAGAGGACCTACAATAATGTACAGTATTTGACAAATAAGGGGTTTTTGAACATTAAAGCATGTCAACATATTCTGTTACACCAAATACACAAAATAATTATCTTTAAAAAAGCATCATATGACCCCTTTAAAGAGCCAATGCAATTCAAACTCAAAATGACTGACTGTATAACAGCAGTATAATGGGCAATTATGAACTTACAGCCTGTCAGCATCATGCAAGCATGAAATATGAAACATACAGTAGTAGTTCTGCACAGGTTTTTGCTTTTCCATTGTTTTTCTATGTAAACATGCGCTTGATGGATCGGTTTGACAATTGCGCTCGTGTCTCACATCTTTTGTAGCGTCTTGCACATGAAACAGCGTTTTAAAAGATAAAAGAAGTTCAACTCGCATCTCATAACCTTGCGTTTTTCCTGTTCCACTGTGGTGTCTCGTGTTTTTCAGCACAAACTCATTCTGTGTGAATCGCCACTAGGACTAGCAATCTTATACTCCTTCATGGAGTGCATCACAGGGAGCGCTTCATCAGCTGCAGTCAGGCGCTCACATCAACTTTTCGCTTTGGCGTATTGTCAAGCTGGGGAGCGTTTCCCAAAAGCGACTATGGACAAAAGTTCTGTTGTTACCAATAGAGTTCAATGGAACTAATGACTATAGTTAGCTAACAATGGTTTTGGGAAACATACCCCTGTCTGATTGTAACATTTGCTAATATTTGATTCAAAAACTGCAATTCCTCAATTAAAAAAAAAATAAAAATTGTGGCAAAACATACATTTGAATTAATCTGAAATGAATATGAAAAATCGCCCAGCCCTTATGTTATAAATATCTGCTCATGTAGTGATCAGTGTTTCATCTCACAGGTGACAAAACCGCTGAGCTACACCAAACGACAGTTTGACGTGGAAGAGGACGACGTGGACAAGCTTGCACTTAAGTGAGTGTGTGTGTACCTGCTATTCCCTATGTTATGGGGACCAAATGGGATACAAAACAGTTGTACAGTTGTATAAAAACCATTATGCCTATGGAGAGTCCCGTAAACCACATATATAAGCATGTGTGGGTGTGTGACTGTGTGTGTGATTCTCAGATGCAGTCTGTGTTTGTAATTCAGCATCTTTGCGCATCATGTGCTTTGATGTGACGGTTATATTCACAGCAGTCTAATAAGGAATTATGATGTTTGTAAACACCATCAGATTGTGACTGCAGCAGCTGTGCAGTGTGATCATAGGAACTGAATGTGTGTCGTATCAGCTCAGCATGTGTAAGGATTCATTGCTGATAATGACAGTGACCTAGTTCTACAACATCTCATTTTCTTTTGTGATATGAGTTGTTGTTGTTTTACTCAGTGAGGATGTTATTCCCACCACAAACATTTATAGAAAGGGGAATATGTTTCATTAACGGTGTTATTTTAGTATCATTGAGATACTGTTATAGTTTTTATCAATATTTTGAAATAGTTTTTGGTTTTCTATTTTCTATTTTCATTTTAATTAGTTAAAGTTGTTGTGATTCTGTTGTGTTTTTAATCATTTTTATGAGTTTTTAAAAAAAATGTCTACGTACTGTAGTTTTTATTCATTTTTATTTCAGTTTTAGTTATTTTAGTACATCACGAAAATGAAAAATTAGCTGGAATTTTATTCTATTTTAGGTAACATTTATTTGTTTTTCCAAGTAACATTTAAAAAAAATGTTAGTTTTAATTTCCATAACAATAGCCCGATTCGGACAGTAATTGTTTCTCATGGGGATAAGTGATTTTCAACATTTACAGGGGTTAAGGCCTGTTCACACCAAGACAACTATAAAGATAACTATATTAGCGTCCACACCAGCGGACGATATCATCTGTTTATTCCAAGCGCACGCTCGTCTGCCGCATTAAATTCTCGAGCTCATCATAGCAGGACTGATTGTGATTGGCTGTCAAAATTTGTATTGTTCATCAGCTTGAAAAAAACAGTTCTGAAAGTGATTCCAACGATATTGTTTCTCTGTGCCTTTATCATTATAGCTGTGGTGTGGACTCTGCTATTCTTTAATACCGAGAACGATTTTTAGAACTATATCTTTATCGTTATCTTTATAGTTATCGTCCTTGGTGTGAACAGGCCTTAAGTCAGTGATTTTATTGCCGTCTGAATCCAAATGTCAGTGTTTTTCTCCCACCACCCACATAAAAATCCACGGCCGAATTACCTACTGTTTTTTGACAAACACCAAGGTTGTGTGGTAATTTAATTGCCGTCCACATCTCTGAGTTTACAAGAAGAAATCGATTCAAAATTCAATGTTTAAATCCTTTTTGACCACTGCCGAACACCATACGGTAACTCTTGCACTTTGCTGTAATTTACATGCATATTTATTACTGAAAAAAAAATACTGAAATGCTGGAAAGTATTTACAAGAACAATATGTCATAACTGCTCTACCACAGTGAGTGGGAGCTGTTACGAACAAAAAGAAGACAGACAAGAAAAGTACGTAAACATTTGAACATTTTGAAACATTATTATGGCAGCAACAGGTATGCAATACAATTTAAAAATTTGTATTACAAATCTACAAATACATACATAAAAATATAAACCAAGCAGCTTTATGTTTACCTTATGTAAGAGTTGCATTAACTTATTTCTGCTAATCTCCACATTTTTAATGGCATCCATCATTTTGAGAGATAAAATGCAAGATAAAAAAACATTCAACTATAGTGCGTCTGTTTCCCATTTTTTAAATAGGAGATTTAAATAATCAAATAATAAATAGGATATTATTAAATATGAATTTATTCTTAGTCCAAGAATATGACATTTTATTTACAGTAGACAATCATGCGTGTTCATAGGATCACAGAACTGGCTTCTCCACTGTGAATGAATCACCATCTGAGTCCATAAGTTTTATCACTCAGGTGCCATGTAAATGTATTTTTGCAGACATCCACATGAGTAACTTATTTCTGCTAATCTCCACATTTTTAATGACATCCATTATTTTGAGAGATAAAATGCAAGATAAAAAAACATTTCAACTATAGTGCGTCTGTTTCCCATTTTTTAAATAGGAGATTTAAATAATCAAATAATAAATAGGATATTATGCCAGCAATCTGAAGTTCGGAGACGAGTTTCTCGGAGAGGTACGGGTGCCGCTGAAGGTGCTGGGACAGTCGGGTGTTCATGATGCATGGTACGGCTCTCTTCATGCATGTTCTGTCTGAAGCAACTCGTGATTTGTGTTCTGGAGCTCATCATCCGCTCTGCCGTCTCTTTCAGGTACTTCCTGCAGCCAAGAGATAACGGCAATAAATCGGTGAAGGCCGATGAGCTAGGCTCATTACGACTCAACATGCCATCTGAATCTATAAGTTTTATCACTCAGGTGCCATGTAAATGTATTTTTGCAGACATCCACATGAGAAACAATTACTGTCCGAATAAGGCTAAGAACAACCTGGTCATTAAATATCCACAAAATGAAAAACTAAACCAAAAAGAAAGACAGAAATATTGTTATTTTAGTATTATTTATATTATATTTAATTTTTTGAATTAGCTTTTATTTTTAGATTTTGAGGTTTCATTGTAAATGTGTGTGTGTGTGTGTGTGTATGTGTATATGTGTATAGCTAATCTCCACATTTTTAATGACATCCATTATTTTGAGAGATAAAATGCAAGATAAAAAAACATTTCAACTATAGTGCGTCTGTTTCCCATTTTTTAAATAGGAGATTTAAATAATCAAATAATAAATAGGATATTATTAAATATGAATTTATTCTTAGTCCAAGAATATGACATTTTATTTACAGTAGACAATCATGCGTGTTCATAGGATCACAGAACTGGCTTCTCCACTGTGAATGAATCACCATCTGAGTCCATAAGTTTTATCACTCAGGTGCCATGTAAATGTATTTTTGCAGACATCCACATGAGAAACAATTACTGTCCGAATAGGGCTAAGAACAACCTGGTCATTAAATATCCACAAAATGAAAAACTAAACCAAAAAGAAAGACAGAAATATTGTTATTTTAGTATTATTTATATTCTATTTTTTTTATTTTGAATTAGCTTTTATTTTTAGATTTTCAGGTTTCATTGTAAATGTGTGTGTGTAGATATTAGTGTGTGTGTGTGTGTGTATATGTATATATATAGATAGATAGATAGATAGATAGATAGATAGATACTGTGTATATACAGTGGGTACGGAAAGTATTCAGACCCCCTTAAATTTTTCACTCTTTGTTATATTGCAGCCATTTGCTAAAATCATTTAAGTTAATTTTTTTTCCTCATTAATGTACACACAGCACACCATATTGACAGAAAAACACAGAATTGTTGACATTTTTGCAGATTTATTAAAAAAGAAAAACTGAAATATCACATGGTCCTAAGTATTCAGACCCTTTGCTCAGTATTTAGTAGAAGCACCCTTTTGATCGAATACATTCCTTGTTGACTTCAGTGGTGTTGATTAAGGGTGTGTTTGTGTGCAGCCCGTCTCTGCGTCCGCGGCTCACATCTTGGGCGAGGTGTGCCGTGAGAAGCAGGAAGCCGCTGTCCCGCTGGTGCGACTCTTCCTGCACTATGGCAAAATAGTGCCTTTCCTCAGTGCCATTGCCCACGCAGAGATCAACCGCACACAGTGAGTACAAACACACTTCATCTGCGCTCAAACGTCTCTACCTCACATTCCTCACGTTCCTCATGTTCCTCCAGGGATCCCAACACCATATTCCGGGGGAACTCTCTGACGTCCAAATGCATTGATGAGACCATGAAGCTGGCAGGGATGCATTACCTGCGGGTCACACTCAAACCCATCATTGATGAAGTGAGTCTGGTCTCAGTCTCTTCTCCATTATAACTGAGTCTCATCATGAGCGCTGTGTTCACCGTGTTGCTTGTGTGTAGATCTGCACTGACCACAAACCTTGTGAGATCGACCCCGTCAAGCTGAAGGAGTCTGAGAACTTAGATACAAACAGGGTGAGTCTGTTCACAAACCTGATACTTTTGCTTTGATAACTAAACTCATTAGAAACCACATGTATCTGATATCAGCTGACATGTCTGTGTCCTCAGGAAAACTTACGGCAGTACGTGGACCGGATCTTTAACGTCATCACCAGCTCGGGTGTGAGCTGTCCGACAGTCATGTGTGACATCTTCTTTTCGCTGAATAATTAAAGTAACAAATATGTTATTTTTATTGTTTTTTTTATATTTCTATATAGCATTATTTAATTTTTCTTACAGTTTTAGTAATTTTAATACTTCAACTTATTATATTTCAGTTTGTTGCCAAGACAGCACTCTAATTTCTAAAAGAAATTAACTCTAATATAAAAGTTTTTATACCTAATATTTATGTATATGTTTTGTTTCAGCTTGGTTTCAATCATCCCATTAAATTAGTTTTAGTTTTATAGTTTTTTCTTTCCTTGTCAATTTCATGGTCGATGGTCAATTTCAAGATGCAGATTTCACTGAATGAGCAGGAGTTTGATTACATTATTTTTTATAGTAATATAAGGATAGTTCAATCAAAAGATTCAACTATCAGTTTAGGTTACATCCTAAAAGCATTTAAAAAAATTATTAAAATAATACTGTGATACAAAAGGTGTGAGGCGATCATATTCCCATTTAATTTTCCCAAATAAATCTAATTTGTCATTATTGATAAGTCGTAATTTTCCTTGTTGACTTCAGTGGTGTTGATTAAGGGTGTGTTTGTGTGCAGCCCGTCTCTGCGTCCGCGGCTCACATCTTGGGCGAGGTGTGCCGTGAGAAGCAGGAAGCCGCTGTCCCGCTGGTGCGACTCTTCCTGCACTATGGCAAAATAGTGCCTTTCCTCAGTGCCATTGCCCACGCAGAGATCAACCGCACACAGTGAGTACAAACACACTTCATCTGCGCTCAAACGTCTCTACCTCACATTCCTCACGTTCCTCATGTTCCTCCAGGGATCCCAACACCATATTCCGGGGGAACTCTCTGACATCCAAATGCATTGATGAGACCATGAAGCTGGCAGGGATGCATTACCTGCGGGTCACACTCAAACCCATCATTGATGAAGTGAGTCTGGTCTCAGTCTCTTCTCCATTATAACTGAGTCTCATCATGAGCGCTGTGTTCACCGTGTTGCTTGTGTGTAGATCTGCACTGACCACAAACCTTGTGAGATCGACCCCGTCAAGCTGAAGGAGTCTGAGAACTTAGATACAAACAGGGTGAGTCTGTTCACAAACCTGATACTTTTGCTTTGATAACTAAACTCATTAGAAACCACATGTATCTGATATCAGCTGACATGTCTGTGTCCTCAGGAAAACTTACGGCAGTACGTGGACCGGATCTTTAACGTCATCACCAGCTCGGGTGTGAGCTGTCCGACAGTCATGTGTGACATCTTCTTTTCGCTGCGAGAGTCTGCGGCGTCACGCTTTCAGGGTAAATGCTCACATGCCGTTAGATGAGCCGGCACAATTCATTCAATTCAAATCAAAACTGAACTCTACCAATGATTTAAACATGAAAAAACAAATCCCAGTTCTCGTTTGCATTCAAGTGGATTCAGATATCTTTTTGGTTCATTTTGTCATTTTATTTTATTTTAGTTTAAGTTTTAGTAATTATGTTTTTCTGTAATTATTTTTTATTTTTAGCTTTAATTTTTCTTTCAGTTTTATTAATTTTAGTACTTCAACTCATTATATTTCAGTTCGTTGCCAAGGAAGCATTTCTAATTTAAGTTTTCTATCTAATATTTAAATTAAATTAATTAATTAATAAAAAAATTGTTGTTTGTGTCATTATTACTAGTTTTTTTAAATGTCTATATAGTTTTATTAATGTTTATATATTCATTTTACATTTAGCTTTATATATTTCAGTACTTCAGGTTAAAGTAAATATTTTTCTTTTTTATGTCTATGTAGCTTTTATTAATTTTAGTTTAATTAGTTTTAGTTATTTTAGTATTACAATTTAAACTAAACAAAAATATTAAATGTTGCCTTCGCAACTAGCTGAGATAAAATTTAGTTATGAAAAAGTAAATAAATAGATTTTAAAAAGTTCATTTTATGTTATTTCATAATGTTTACTTTATTTAAAGTAATGAAAAGGTTTTTATGGTGTTAGTTTTAATTAAAGGGGTCACATGATGCGATTTCAAGCTTTCCTTTCTCTTTGGAGTGTTACAAGCTGGTGGTGCATAGATAAGATCCCTGAAGTTGCAAAGACTAAAGTCTCAAAACCAAAGAGATATTCTTTATCAAAGTTAAGACTCTGCCACGCCCCCCTAAAATGGCTCGTTCTAACACGCCCCCACATATCTACCTCACTATGTGGAAATATTTGCATAATGCCGCCCAAATGTGCACGCAAAGAAAGAAGGCGTGGTTTCAGTAACCGCAGTTAGTGTTGAAGCAGCATGTCAGGGAGACGCTGTGTGTTTCTAGGCGAAAGCAAAAGCACTTTATTTGATCAGAGCAGACTGCGCTTGTCGGAAGGAGGGACTTTGTAGAAAACGAAGCGTTTGAGAGAGGCGGGGCATAGAGGACTTAACAATAATGTACAGTATTTGAAAAATAATGTGTTTTTTGAACATTAAAGCATGTCAACATATTCTGTTACACCAAATACACAAAATAATTATCTTTAAAAAAGCATCATATGACCCCTTTAACTGTAATTACCTGGAATGCAGAAATTATATGTACACAGTGTTTACTGAAATTCATTCAACAGTATTTGAAAATGTACAAATGTCCTTTATACATTGAGAAGACAACACTGGAAATAAACGTCAGCAGTTGTTCAACAGGATGCCAGAATAATCCAGGTTAGAGAGAAATAGGATGTTTATTGTGAAAATAATCAGTAATGTGATTAATGAATACTGTGGTTGGTTTTGTTGACGTCAGAATGAGTTGATTATTAATGTTAATTTTTTCTTAAAGTTTTAGTCATTGTAGTACTTCATCTCATTGTATTTCAGTTTGTTTCAAATTTTTATTTCTAATTTCTACGTTTTTCATCTAATATCAATTGTATTTCAGCTTGATTTCAATTACCAAAAATTATTTTTAATAGTTTTAGTTTTTGTTAACAATAACAATTCTGTAAAGATCAACCCATTACTTTTAATTAACTTTTATTTTTATATTTTCGGTTGTCATTTTAATTTTCATTCAAGTTTCAGTAATTTTGTTATTTGTTTGTTGCAAATATTTAATATTTAAAAATATTTAAATATTTCTAAATAGGTTTAATTTTTAGAAAGGTAAATCTTTCTTTCAGTTTTAGTTTTAATAATTTTGTACTTCAGCTTGTTTTTCAGTTTGTGGCCATGGCAGCATTTATAATTTGAAATGTAGTTTTTTATCATATATATATATATATATATATATATATATATATACAGTGGGAGGGAAAAAAATTAACTTAAATGATTTTAGCAAATGGCTGCAATATAACAAAGAGTGAAAAATTTAAGGGGGTCTGAATACTTTCCGTACCCACTGTATATATATATTATATATAATATATATATTAGCTTGATTTCAATTAACCAAAAATTATTTTTAGTTTTATAGTTTTATCTTTCATTGGCAGTTTTAAAAGCAGTTGAATGGTCTCTCAAGCAGTTACATGCATAAAGACGTATATTTCACTCAAGGAGCAGGAGTTTGATGAAATGATTTTCGTGGAATGAGGTTAGCAGTAATAAGTGTCCCGTAACCAGGCATTTATTTTCCTACATACTTGTTGTGCTCTACCCAGCTTCCTGTTTATTTTTGCTGCTGTGTTGAACCGTCAGTGTTATACTGCCACCTTCAGATCACAGATGAACACTGCAGAGAACAGGATTGGCTTTGTTTTAGTTGAGAGGCATCAGTAAAGCCTCACTCAGAGATCTGTGGTGATGATGTTGATGATTATGGCGTATGTGTTTTTGCAGTCGACCCGGATGTGCGCTACACGGCTGTCAGCAGTTTCATCTTCCTCCGTTTCTTCGCTCCTGCCATCTTGTCACCGAACCTCTTCCACCTGCGGCCGCATCACCCGGTGTGTACAGCCTCCTCTCTGTTCATCTCTTCTTCTTTATCACGATCGAGTGTTTTATTTTGATCAATTCTGTCACTGTAAAGGATCCGTGCACGTCTCGGACACTGACTCTCATTTCCAAAACCATCCAAACACTGGGAAGCCTGGCCAAGTCCAAATCTGTAAGTGAACATTATCAATAGTTATTTACTGTTACAAATATTATTTATAATATGTAACATAATAAATATAAAATAATATAATGTAATATTCACAAATTATAATATTAAAACATTGTAACTATAATTAATACACACTGTAAGAAAATTGTGATGTCACTTCCTGAAATATTTTAGTATTGTTTATATACTATCATAATATTTATTAATATTTGAATTGGCTTTTATTTTTATAATTTCAGGGTTTTTTTAAGTTTTAGTCATTTTATAACATGCTTTTGTCATTTTAGTTTTTATACATATTCTACATAGCTTTAATGAATTTTTCATTCAGTTTTAGTTTTCAGTAATTTTATGTGTTTTTCTTATTTTTATTCATTTTTATATATTTCTTTATCCACCTTTTTCCTGAGCGTGAAAGTCTCGCCTGACTCATACTGGAACGATGCTTTACATTTCTGGTCTCTAGTGTTTCTAGTCAAATTAATGTATTTTTCGAGCCGATAATATAACGTTAAAGTTATGAAAATGGTTTTAAAAAGCACATGGTGCCATAGTTTCATCACTTGACTTTGACAGTGTTGCAATAACCATCTTTTTTGCAGTAACTCAGCTGTCATAGTTTAATGAGTAGGAAGATGACATGAAGCGACCCGCGGTTAGCTGCATTGAAAACAAATTGAGAGCACATTTCCTACATACAGCTCCCGATTGGGGCAAAGTTCAGGGGATTTTGTCCACAAAATGATAAGAGCACACATTATTTTATTACTACACACACAGTATTTTAACTTAAGCTCTGCAAGCCATGAACGTTTTCTTTTGTCATCGTGTATAGTGGTCGACTGATATATCGCCAAGGCCGATATATCGGCCGATATTTGGATATTTGGCTGATAAGTTTTTCTGTTTGGCCGATGTGTTCGTGGCGGGACTTTCATTTTGACGGCGCTGAGAACGGCAGCACCTGAACACACAGCGCTCACATTCTCCCTCTTGTTTGCTGTCGTCGTTCAGTTCTGTCTAATACGGACAGAAGTCTGTCTAATAATCAGATAGAACTGTTAAACAAAGGAATTAAAATGTATACAAAAATTGTTTTATAACGATTGCTTTAATATTATTAGTAATAGAAAGGCAAACATTAAAATACTTTCTCGTTTGCTGTCAGCATTCAGCAAATACACATTTATATCATTTAAACAAATCTTTCGATGACTAATGAATGTCTACTTTAAAAAACCTTGCAAACTTAGTCGAATCTAGTTGAGATCTTGTAAAGTGTGCATTTGTATCCTGCATGACCGCGTGTTCTCTGTGTGATGGTCGGTCCGTGCGAATTAAATGCGGACAGGAGGAGAGTTCAGCTTCACTGGAGACGCATGATTTATACACTTTAAACTCGTGATTTCAAACTATGCTACACATTATTTGCCCACTATCATATTCATGTCATTTTCACTGTGTGCTGTATGTGAAATGAGTGTTACCTTGGCTTTATTTGAAAAAATGTGATTCCCAATGCACACAAACTTCCCAGAATACTGAGTGCCCTGTTGGTTACAGTGTTTACTTCCTTTTTATTTATATTTTTTTATTAAATATGTGTTTATTTGTGAAAAATACTGTGTCAATTAAAGTATAAGCATGTTTATTTTACACATTAATTTTTTTTATCCATTTTCAATTGATTTCAAATTTCTTACATACTAAATAATATAAATAAAATTATATCGGCCATCGGCCACCCTGCTTTCCAAGATATCGGCATCGGCAGTCAAAAAAACCAATATCGGTCGACCACTAATCGTGAATGCAAGGCGTACAGTGCCAGACACGGACAGATTTGCTGGTATGCAAAACCAGTACATTACAGGAATTCCTTTAGCTTATTGCTGTTTCTGTGGCAGCCAACAACAGCACAGCTTAACCCTGCGCACATTTTTATATTTAGTTATATTGAATAAAGTTTGTTTAATTAAAATCAGTCTATATTTTTAGCCCATTTTAACATGGTTTTCTATGGAGACCGGAACATGAGAGCATCCAAACAGAAGTTAGAATCCATCATGGCGGCGCTTATCGCTTACTAAGGATTAAAGGTGGATAGCTTTAATTTTTCTTTTAGTTTTAGTCATTTTATTATGCGCTTTTGACATCTTTATACTTTCTTATGTGTGTTGCTATATAGCTTCAATTCATTTTTCTTTCAGTTTTAGTTTTGGTAAGTTTGTTATGTGCTTTTATTATTTTTATGCATTTTTTCTTTTAGTTTTTTAGAATATTCATGAATATCATGTAATATTTATATTTTATTTTATTTCTTGATTTAAATGACCAAAAACAAAACATTATTTTTGAACAGAAAGGCTGAACAGAAAGTGCTGGACAAAGACACATTTTTGCACAAAAAAATAAATATGTAGATTCAATGTTTTTTGACCTCCATAGCTCACTCAAATGTATTGATGAAGACATGCAGACTGATATCTGATGAAAAACTCCTGGGAACAGAAATTCTCCTCTCTGTGATAATGAACGCCCCTGTCTCTCTTGACAGGCCAATTTCAAAGAGTCCTACATGGCCGCCTTCTATGACTACTTCAATGAGCAGAAGTACGCCGATGCAGTAAAGAACGTGAGTGTTTCGTGTCTATCACATACAGTGGGTACGGAAAGTATTCAGACCCCCTTAAATTGCTCTGCTTCAGTATGTGTTCTGATGTGAGCCGTGTGTGTCTGTGTCGCAGTTCCTGGATCTGATCTCGTCCTCGGCCCGCTGGGATCAGAAGAGCATTGAGACGCCCATCATGCTGAAGGAAGGGTGAGAGACACTCACATGACCGTCATGTGTCACTGTATCAGTGTGAGACATGAGGACAAATCAGCATGTCTGTGTGTGTGTATTTGTGTTTCTCTGCTGGACGCAGGAGTGTTAAACTCGTTATTAAAAGATTTGATGCCAAAGGTTCTGGCAGGTAAGATGCCGTTGTGACCTATGACCCTTAATACATGACCTCCTGACCCCCGTCATAGCCTCCTCAGTATCTGAGACAGGATGAGACTATCCATGTGTTTGTTGTTCTCCTGATGTTCCTGCTGGACTCTCCCTTCCCTGTTATTGAGCACAGACACACAGACCCTTTCTAGTGTGCAAACCCACACCAAACCCTTTAGAGAACATGAGACTTGATGGAGATCTCGGTTCGGTTTCACTGAATGTGCTCTCACATGCTAAGCCACTAGTTGCTATAAATCGAACGTGGAGCAGCTCAGATCATTTGATGAGATGTTTGAGCTCATATTGAGATCTCTGACTTTTAAACACAATTGGAGACACTGTTCTCTCTAGAGGAGATTACTGGGGTGTTTTTCTCAGGAGATACTGTACATCTGACAAGCAGGAGAGACTTCAGTGAATTTTGCTCTCCATTTAGTCTGAGTTTGCCTATCAATTGAGATATTAAAGAGATCTCAGCAGAGTTATTTTAGTATCATTGATTTACTATTATTGTTTTTGTTAGCATTTTAAATGTTTTAAATTTTTAGTTGCATTAACATTTTGTAATTTTGTTGTTTGTGTCATTATTATTTTTTAAATGTTTGTATAATTTTTATAAATTTTTGTTTATTAATTTCAGTTTATTTAGCTTTAGTTATTTCAGCACTTCAAGTTAAACTGTAAAAAAATTGTATTAGGTTTCTTTTAAATATGTCTATGTATTTTTATTCATTAATTTTAGTTTTTTTAGTTTTAGTTATTTTAGTACTACAATTTAAATTAAACAAAAAATGTTGCCTTGCCAACTAGCTGAGATAAAATTTTGTTATTTAAAAAATAAATAAATAGATTTTAAAAAGTTAATTTTATTTTATTTTATTTCATAAAGTTTGCTTTATTTAAAGTAATGAAAAGGTTTTTATGGTGTTAGTTTTAATTAACTGTAATTACCTGGAATGCAGAAATTATATGTACACAGTGTTTACTGAAATTCATTCAACAGTATTTGAAAATGTACAAATGTCCTTTTTACATTGAGAAGACAACACTGGAAATAAACATCAGCAACAGGGTGCCAGAATAATCCAGTTTAGAGAGAAATAGGATGTTTATTGTGAAAATAATCAGTAATGTGATTAATGAATACTGTGGTTGGTTTTGTTGACGTCAGAATGAGTTGATTATTAATTTCAATCAGATTGTAGTTAGTGTGTGATTGAGGCTGGAGGGCATCTGAGTTTAGACCTTCACTAAAGTCTTGTTCTCCTCCGACCTTCCAGATTCATGATCAAACGAGCTCAAGGGCGAAACCGCTTCGGTCTGAAGAACTTCAAGAAGAGATGGTTCCGCTTGACCAACCACGAGTTCACCTACCATAAAACCAAAGGTAACGCAAAAGGTTTGTGCCATACTCTCACTACAGGTGTGTGAGGCATCTGCTGTTCATCTGTGGAGTATTGAAGCACATCCCATCATGTGTTTGTGAAGGAGCAGAACATCAACACTGCTGAATATCAGAATAGCAGTCATATAAAGAGTGTAAAGAAGTGTAAAAAACATCTCGGTTACATATGTAACCCTGCTGTTACGTGGATACTGATGTATGGGGTCTCACTTGGGAGCCCCAGTCACCTCTGAGTAGTACAAGAAAGGCCAATGAACACTGACAAGTGAAACCCAGACATAAGGGTTTAGAAGGAGGTTGGCGTGCTCACTGATTCAGATTTGTGCTGAGCAGGCGAGACCTGATCACAGGAATAAATGGTATTTTAATATATATATACACATAGAAAACACTTACTTTAAATTGAAATAATATTTCACAATATTACTGTTTTTATTGTTGTGTTTTTCCCATCAAATAAATGTAGCCTTGGTGAGCAGAGGAGACTTCTTTCAAAAACATTTTAACACTTTAACTTCTTGCATTTTTAAATCAAGACACTACAGACAAAACCAGTGTTTTTTATTCTCTGCTCAGTTTTGTGATTATAGTCTGTTTTGCTTCCATAACATGTCTTCTTTCAGACTAGTGAAAAGAAAATATCCAAAATACACATTTAAGTGTTTCTTTCATTGCACTTTATCTACTTGCGTCTGTAGATTTCAATTGCAATCCATATCTTTAAAGAGTTTTTTTCCTCTTACATACACCAAACTTTACAGTTTGATTCCGTTTTATTTTATTTACAGTTTTATTACGTAACATTTTATTCCTAAAAACATGGTGAAAATGTATTTATTTTTTGTCTGTTGACAGTATTTTCTGATTTATGGAGTGATAAACTATTAGTTAAACATTTTACCCTATCCACCTGCGGTTTAAAACCGGTTCTGTGTGAACTGCCCCTTATGCATATGATGTGGCATGATCAAGGGTTCAGACGGTTTGTGTCTGTGTTTGTGTCGTTCAGAGGACTTCCTGCCAACATCCAGCTGGACGTGGATGGAGACAGAGAGACGGAGAGGATCTACTCGCTCTACAGCACGTACATGTCCAAACTAGTGAAGATGCAGGGTGAGAGAGAGTAAAGTGGGGGGAAAAATAGATATTATATTATTATTAAATATAATGTCCAGAAAAATGACTAAAACTGAAATAAAAATAAAGATAAATAGAATAATAAAAATGACAAAAGCACATAACAAACGGACTAAATCTTTAACTAAAATTAATTAAATAAAATCAAAAAGCTAATTTAAAAATATTAATAAATACTATAATACTTTATAAAAAATAACATTGGTTTAAAATAATTGAACAGTACTTTGACTCTATTTGTTGCATGTGTCATCATGCATTTTGAAGAATACTGTGGTATTACTGACAATCAGCATGCAGCAGGTTGCAAACACTTGTACATCAGTCCCGTAATGCGTCTCATCTCTCCATCCAGAGGCCTGTGGCAGTAAGTCGGTGTACGATGGCCCAGAGCAGGAGGAATACTCCACGTTTGTGATCGACGACCCGCAGGAGACGTATAAAACCCTGAGACTTGTCATCTCAGCCGTACAGACACTGGAGCAGCAGCACATGCAGTACAAACGAGACAAGTTCAGGAAAACCAAGTACGGCAGCCAGTAAGTATCGACGAACCACTCATCTGTGACTAGATAAGTTATACCAAGCCAAGTCAAATGTATTGAAATAGCGCTTTTCAAGTACACATTGTTTCAAAGCAGAAAATCATGATGTTCTTAATCTTAATATCTTCATGTCTTATAGTTGCATTTAGTAGATTAGAACTGGACGGTTATATACTTAACATTTGTCGACAAAATAAAAAATCAGGCAATTGATATATAGTATATATTGCTTTATGCAAGTGTACTGTATATATGTCGATAAAGTTGGTTAGAATATATATCAAACTTTACATATAGAGCTGTCCTTATTTTAAGTTAAATTTACTAAAACTAAACCTGAAATAAAGTTAAATAGAAATATAAAAAAATTACCAAAACTAAAATACGTTACAGATAAATAGAAATACAAAAAACTAATACAAATGATAAAAGCATAACAAAATTACTAAAACTGAAATAAAAATAAATGAAAGATAAATAGAAATATAAAAAACAAATAAAATGAAAAAGCACGTAACAAAATTACTAAAACTTAAATAAAAATAAAGACAGAGAAATATAAAAAGCTAATAAAAGTGACAAAAGCACATAAAATTACTAAAGTCTCAATTAAAATAAATTAAAGAAATAGAAATAGAAAAAAAATAGTAAAATTGATAAAAGCACAACAAAAATTACTAAAAGTGAAATAAAAATAAAGATAAATATTAAAAAAATTACAAAACTGAAACTACAAACATAAAATCTATTTCAAAATATTAATATATACTATAATAGTATAAATATATATAAATATATTTATAAAATAAAAACAGCACTTTGACTAATTGATTAACTTTATTTGTTACTTATAAGTCAGTTATTTGTGTCCACAGGAAGGAAGTTCTGTTCTGATGCATCATGTTTTTGTGTTTACAGGGAACATCCAATCGGTGATCAGAGCTTCCAGTGTTACATCCGCCAGCAATCAGAAAGCTCCACCTACTCCATCTGACCACGCCCACTGCAGACACTGCACAGTCTCCACGGCAACAGTCGCATCTCAGACAGGAAACTCTTGAGTTGTGATTGCCAAGGTGGCCACAGACAAAAGCTAAACCTCTGGTGCTTTTATATGATTTTAATCAGCCAACAGCTTCCTCTGAATGGCGTCACACGCACCTGTGGACCATGTAGCTCCGCCTCACGGCACGTTATAACATTTTGTGATGTTTTTAAGCTAGGAGACGACCAGATGTCCTGTAGCTGTGGATGTTTTTATAAACAGAGTATTGGGCCAAAGGACAGATCCCACAATCCTTTGCTTTGAAAGGGTTTTTGAGATGTCGGTGGATGTGAGACCTGCGGCTGAACCTGATGAACTGTAACCATGTTTTTAACTCGTGTAGAAATATTCTGCTCTGTTTCTGCCTGCACTTCCCCTTACTCACACTTGTGTCGTCACGCCAGCTGAAGCAGTGCTGCATTGTGGGAAATGTGTCATGTTGTGTGTGTTGAAGCATGCAGATGTCCTTATGCCAGCTGTTTCCAGCATGTGGCGTGACGCTAAACCACTTTCTGATGGTTAGTGGGTCCAGTTGTGTTCAGCATCACATTTGTGTTTTATACTTTCTGTTGTGTCTCACAGCTTGTGTGTGTGTGTGTGTGTTTGAATCTGAAGCAAGCGTGCATGAGTGTGTTTCAGTGATTAATTATGATTAATAACTCCCATTTTATCACATCACACTTTATAGACCTTTGATATGAATGTAATTATTTTGATGCATTTCATGAAATCTGTCAAGATAATGCCCTGCTCATATTTCACCCTAAAATCAAATCTATCTATCTATCTATCTATATATATATACAGTGGGGGGGGAAAGTATTTAGTCAGCCACCAATTGTGCAAGTTCTCCCACTTAAAAAGATGAGAGAGGCCTGTAATTTTCATCATAGGTATACCTCAACTATGAGAGACAAAATGAGAAAAAAAAATCCAGAAAATCACATTGTAGGATTTTTAAAGAATTAATTGGTAAATTCCTCGGTAAAATAAGTATTTGGTCACCTACAAACAAGCAAGATTTCTGGCTCTCACAGACCTGTAACTTCTTCTTTAAGAGGCTCCTCTGTCCTCCACTGGTTACCTGTATTAATGGCATCTGTTTGAACTTGTTATCAGTATAAAAGACACCTGTCCACAACCTCAAACAGTCACACTCCAAACTCCACCATGGCCAAGACCAAAGAGCTGTCAAAGGACACCAGAAACAAAATTGTAGACCTGCACCAGGCTGGGAAGACTGAATCTGCAATAGGTAAGCAGCTTGGTGTGAAGAAATCAACTGTGGGAGCAATTATTAGAAAATGGAAGACACACAAGACCACTGATAATCTCCCTCGATATGGGGCTCCACGCAAGATCTCACCCCGTGGGGTCAAAACGATCACAAGAACTGTGAGCAAAAATCCCACAACCACACGGGGGGACCTAGTGAATGACCTGCAGAGAGCTGGGACCAAAGTAACAAAGGCTACCATCAGTAACACACTGCGCCGCCAGGGACTCAAATCCTGCAGTGCCAGACGTGTCCCCCTGCTTAAGCCAGTACATGTCCAGGCCCGTCTAAAGTTTGCTAGAGAGCATTTGGATGATCCAGAAGAGAATTGGGAGAATGTCATATGGTCAGATGAAACCAAAATAGAACTTTTTGGTAAAAACTCAACTTGTCGTGTTTGGAGGAGAAAGAATGCTGAGTTGCATCCAAAGAACACCATACCTACTGTGAAGCATGGGGGTGGAAACATCATGCTTTGGGGCTGTTTTTCTGCAAAGGGACCAGAACGACTGATCCGTTACTTTCTGTTGTGTCTCACAGCTTGTGTGTGTGTGTGTGTGTGTGTGTGTGTTTGAATCTGAAGCAAGCGTGCATGAGTGTGTTTCCGTGATTAATTATGATTAATAACTCCCATTTTATCACATCACACTTTATAGACCTTTGATATGAATGTAATTATTTTGATGCATTTCATGAAATCTGTCAAGATAATGCCCTGCTCATATTTCACCCTAAAATCAAATCTATCTATCTATCTATCTATATATATATACAGTGGGGGGGGCAATATGGGGTGCTGTGTGTACATTAATGAGGAAAAAAAATTTACTTAAATGATTTTAGCAAATGGCTGCAATATAACAAAGAGTGAAAAATTTAAGGGGGTCTGAATACTTTCCGTACCCACTGTATATATATATATATACATATACACACATACATATATACACACACACACACACATTTAAGCTTAAAGAAACTGAAAGACATTTTACAAGCATTAAGACTTTTTGCATTGCAAAATATTTTACTGTAATGTATGATAGAACCTGTTTCTGCTATAAAAAAAAAATAGTAAGATAATTGCACTGAAAAAAATGGTGTAGAAAATGTTCACTCTGAAAATGCTAGTAAATTTCACAAACACTTACTAAGAAATGGCAAGTAACACACTGAATTAAAAGTGAAATTCTATTTTCTTGAAAACCATACTCCAATAATCGTTGTTTCCTTTACATCTTCGAAAAAAATTTTTTTACAGTGGTGAGTTTTTATCTCGCAATTCTGACTTTTCTTCTTAGAATTGAGTTTTTATCTCAATTCGGACTTTTTTTTCTCATAATAGTTGCAATTACTTTTTTTTCTTTATCCCTTGACAGAAACAAGCTTCCATAGTAATGTGAAAAACACTGATTTTCTTTATGGGGAAACTTGTTTCTCATTTTCTTATGAATTCGGGGTGAAATATGAGCTGGAGATTCACACTTACATTCTTCTTCACAAATTCTGAGTATGGGTCACCATACTTGGCCACACGTCACTTCACTCTTGTTAGTATGGTGTTGCATTTTTGTTAACACAGGGTCCTTCTGTTTCTGTACGTCCCTCAGTGATGCATGTTTCCGTGCTTAGATATTTTAAAACAGCCCCGTTTCCCCCCTCAAATGAAATGCTGTTTATTTTTATATCACAGAATAATGCTTTTGTGAAAAAAGAAAACTCAAAATAATCCAAACGCACAGTATGAAGTATGCAATAATGTCACCTATAAGTAATTTGCCTGCTTTTGATCTGTTGAGTAATTGATGAAGGAACTTTGATCACAGATCCCTATGAAGCGAGAGTGGTGTTTGTGTGATGTGTGTACAGACCAACCAACTGAAAGAGACACGTTTCTTTTGTCCAAATGAAGGCAATAGCAAAGAAATCAGTCTTGAGTCTTTTATTCTCAAATACTGTTTGCTTTCAAAACAGCTACTCAAAAGCACTAAACATAAAGGATGAAAAATGACTCCAGCGAAAACACAGCTACATCATTGTTGTTTTCCATGTTAATAGGTTTTACTGATCAATTAATGTCATTTTGTTCCATCCAGAGGAAAGTTCCATTGCTCATCATGAGCTCAGATGTTTCTCCTAAAACATGTTTGGAGAAATAAAAAGGACCCAAATGGGTCACTGGTTCAGCCAGTAAATGTCTAGAGCTATAAAATAAATGTGGAGCAGTTGAGATCATTTAATGAGAAATGAGTTCGTATTGAGATCTGAGCAACAAAGAAACAATGTCTTTTCTGAAAATAACAGCATTTACAAAGTAACAATCTAGCAGTGTTGAAAGCTGCTACACGAGACATTTTTTGAGAACTTTTTTTTCTTTTAGATTTCTTTGGTTTTGGTTGTTTGTTTGTTTGTGTGTCAACTGTTTGTCAAGCGCAAACTTTTTAACTGGATAAATTAAGAGGTTAAACTATTTATCAAGAACAAAATCAGCTGTAATTCCTGTTACATAATTTCCTTTAACTTCAGCCTGCCAGAGCGCATTCACCAGCTACTAGTTTATTTATACTGGCAGTCATGAGTTCGCACGCGCTGCGTTTCTGGCCGAACTAGAGGAGCTTAACAAGAAGAATCCACTGTTTGATTTTGGACCAGAACCGGAGGTTTTTGGAGTGACTGACCGTATCGAACAGCGAGAGCATGAGGAGACTGACGGCGGCGCGGAGCGGCTCTCTGCTCGGCCTCGTGCTGCTGCTGCTGCGTGCTGAACTCTGCGGGTCACAGCGATGTGAGTAAAACAGACCATCGAGCACAAACGAACCAATAACGGCTCACAGAGGTGAAAACATTCACTTTACTAACCGTTTGCTGTCACAAAGTGATTAAAAGGGTCCAGAGCACAGCGCAAAATCCGCTAGTTTCAGCAGCCGTTGTTTGTTGAGCAGTGTTTACCTTTACATTAACCAGAGTTTACACCAAAATATACTAGCTATTTTACTTTAGCTTACCGTAAAACTGGTAATTTGGTATTAGTCGCTGTTATTAAAATGAAATTAATCAAAATGACAAACAGGGTCTTTGAGTAAAGTATTGTGCTTTTATATCAGTAGTAACTATGGTAGTTTGGAGGAAACTACCATGTTTACCACAGTACATTTTTGTAGCGTATGACATGAATATGATTGTATTTATTTGTTAGTTCAAATGAAGTCACAGTGTTTCAATGTAACGGTGTTTACAAAATTAACTTAGTGTTTCTAAAAAAAATAACGGTATTTACAAAGTAACATTGTAGCAGTGTTTCCAAATGGAACAGTAACAATGCTTCAAACAATAGCAGTATTCCCAAAGTAACAGTGTTTATAAAAGTGTACAATACATTTACACAGTGTTGCAGTGTTTGCAAAAGTAGCAGTATTTACAAAATAAAAATGTTGCAGTTTACAAAAGTAACAAAGTAGTAATTTTTCTAAAAAAAATAACAGCATTTACAAAGTAACAACGTAGCAGTGTTTACAAAAGTAACTGTAACAATGTTTCCAAAAATGCAGACCGCTTTACAAGATGTGACTGAAGATATGCAGTATGCCTGTTTCATTCATTTTGTGTGTGTGTATGTGTATGTGTGTGTGTGTGTGTGTGTATGTATGTGTGTGTGTGTGTGTGTGTGTGTGTGTGTGTTGGGGGTGTTAATGAAACTGCTCTACATTACAGACTGAAAACAGTTAAAATCAATAGTCTTGTTTAAAATACACCATGTTGTGGTTAATCTCAAACTGTGTGTCAGTGTTGAAGATATTTGTTCTGTTAAAATGTTTATTCCAGAAATATTCTCTAGAAAGAGACTTGTTGGGGAATAGATCTCTGAACTGACCCGCACAATGAAGGCATTTGATCGAGTTAAAGCTGACATCCATGATGGACTCATTTTCTGAAGATCTGTCTGGTCTTCACTGAGCTTTATGTTCCAGTCTAATGTTTGAATCTTTCATACTGAGCCTCATTAATAAACTACGGAAGTGCCATGCACATTTATATAAACCATGATTACAATAGTAATGTACCATGGTATTTACAGTACTTGGCACTCAGAGGTACTTGAAAATAGTGATAGATTGATATACACTGCCGTTCAAAAGTTTGGGATCAGTATGATTTTTATTACTTTATAAAGAATTCTCTTATGCTCATCAAGGCTGCATTTATTTGATCAACAATACAGAAAAAACAGTAATATTGTGAAATATTACTAAATAACCTTATTTATTAAATTTCTGTGTTCTGTTTTAATATACTTTAAAATATGATTTATTGCTGTGATCAAAACTGTATTTTCAGCTTCATTACTCCAGTCTTCAGTGTCACATGATCCTTCAGAAATCATTCTAATATGCTGATTTATTATCAATGTTGGAAGCAGTTTTTGCTGCTTATTTTTTTTGTGATACCTTTTTTGGGGATTCTTTGATGAATAACAAGTTAAAAATAACAGCATTTATTCAAAATAGAAATAATTTCTAACAATATAAGTGTGTGTATATATATATATATATATATATATTCATTATACATACACACACACACACACACACACACACATTTAAGCTTAAAGAAACTGAAAGACATTTTACAAGCATTGAGACTTTTTGCATTGCAAAATATTTTACTGTAATGTATGATAGAACCTGTTTCTGCTACAAAATAAAAAAAAATAGTAAGGTAATCCCAAACTTTTGAACGGCAGTGTATATAGGCCAGCCTGATCAATCAGAAATATTGGCTGATAATGGCACAGAATCTTTAGCTCTTACATGAGTCAGTTTGAAAGTCTAGAGACTGTTTTGTTAAGGAATAATGTTTTTATAATTAAATATTGTAAATATTGAGTGAATATGGTGTATAACATCCATAACTTGTGCACACACTCATTGACCATTAAAATTGTGGTATTACCACGGTGTTCGCCCAAATGCCATGTTAATTTAATGGCACAGTTGGTATGTTTTTGTGAGTAAAGCCAGTCAAACACACTGATCTGATGTGCTCTCATGTCCAGTTCTCTCACAGAATAAAGCGTCTCAGTTCCTCCTGCGACATAGACGTGCAAACACCCTGTTTGAGGAGAGCAAGAAAGGAAACCTGGAGCGCGAATGCATCGAGGAGCTGTGTAATAAAGAGGAGGCACGAGAAATATTTGAGAACAATCTAGAAACGGTGAGTTCTGTCAGCCAATCGATGCTCTGATGTTTGTGTTGTGATCCGTCATGCTGTTGACATTGACATTGACCTGTCAGCCGTGTGCGTGCGTTCAGTCATGAGATCGTTTGTGTTGACAGTGAGGTTTGTGAACTGGAAATGAATCACTGAACTGCTTTATGATGTGTGTGCATAATGTCATCATGACATGTTTTTTTTAATCTTCCAGGAATATTTCTATCCCAAGTATGTTGGTAAGTCGTCATCAATATTTTTGTGCAAATAAACACTTACTGTAACCCACAGCATGCACAGTGGGTCTGAATGATGTGTGATGTCAGCTCACACTTCAGTGACCGTCACATTGGAATCTGATTGCAAAACTCACTCTGACTGAAGCTGCTTTGACTCAGTCAGTCTATTTGTCCCAATTTTAAAAGTACTTATTATAAAAGTACAAAAACTTAAGGAAAGACACTACAGGTTAATAGGGTAAAACGTTAACTAATATATATCATCATAGCTCCCCAGTTGATTAATCACAATACATTAAGAGAATTGTTCTGTATTGCAAGATTTCTGAAATGTTCTGTAAAATTATGCATATAAACAAGGATTTATCTAATTAAACATGCACTAATTTGCATACATTTCCAGAACATAAATCTGAACATTGGATAAAGCCAGGTTCAAAACTTGTTTGGATTTTGCTGACATATTAGAGTAAAAAAAATTTCAGATGGGATTTTGGATTTCTTTTTATCACTCCATAAATCAGAAAATAGTCAACAGACAGAAAACAAATACTTTTTCACCATATTTTAGGGATAAAATGTTGTATAAATGTGTGAATGATATATGAACAAACCCCTCAGTAAAAGCCTTCAGAATATAGAAACGGAAAAGTTTGGTGTATGTAAGAGGAAAAAAAACTCTTTAAAGATATGGATTGGAACTGAAATCTACAGATGCAAATAGATAAAGTGCAAAAAAAGAAACACTTAAATGTGTATTTTAGATTTTGGAAGTTTTGGATCTCAAAATTGAGAACAGATAAAATGAAAAAAAAGTAAAAAGAAAAAATCTGAAATGAATAGATAACATGCAAACAGCTAAAGTGTCAAAATTATATTAAATGTAATAAAAAAAAATGGTTAGCTTGTCAGGCTTTAGCTGGCCGTTATTTAATTTAGATAATTTCAGAGTTCCTCTGAAACCCTCCACCTTCCCTAGCTCCACCTGTATAGATCTGCTATTGGTTATTTTATATGCTATTTGTGCAGCAGCAGTATGTATCGGCTTATGTATTGGCAGTAGCAAGTTCCTGTACTTGCTTGCAGCAGCAACAACCAACAGCAGCAGCAATTCAGCAGCAGCGTAGCAGATCTATTCCACCAAGACCAAATACATTAACATTGTCATATCCATTACCATGCTAAAATCTTCAGAGAGTTTGCATGATAGAAATACAGTCAACATTACAATAAGATTGAGAAGTTGCTGTAGAAACTGTGCTGTAAAATATGCTAGTTTGTGGGGTTTTTTTTTTTTACACATTTATGAGTCTGTATTCATAGTTAAGTCGAATATATTGTTACACAATCCTAAACTGATCAGTTTTTTTTTTAAAGAAGCAATTGTAATTGATTGAAAACTGTATTTATGACATGTTGTGTGACGTAACAGTGCATCATTAGATGGACTGAAGTGTGTGTGTCATGTCGTGTATGTGTTGTATCTTGTTGTTTTCTCTTTAGTGTGTCTGGGATCTCACCGCGTTGGGATCAATAATCCAAACTCTGAGCCTGGAATCCCTCAGAACCTCCGTACCTGTGTTCAAGGTGATCCAGCACTAGTACTGTTATCTACTAGTCAGTGTATCTGAGACCGTGTTATGTCTGTGTTGATTGTGAGTTTGAGTTGTTTGTTGTGTTTCAGAGATCAGTAACCAGTGTCTGCCGCTGCCGTGTCATAAGGACGGTTATGAGCGCTGTGTGGATGGTCAGGGCTCCTTCACGTGTGTGTGTAAAGCTGGATGGAGGGGTCAGCGCTGTGAGCAGGGTGAGCTGAGATTCATCATACTGACCACAAAACGTTTTCATGTTCATTACACTGCACTGAGACTTCACAAAACTAATGATGAGCCTAGACAACAGAGAGAGGATTAAATTAAGCTGTTTTATTTCCAAAATACACTCATTCAAGGGTGTTTTAATTCATGTAAAGTTATGTTTTTGGGACATGACTTAATGAATTGCATGACCATGTGAGTTTGTCTCTATTTCCTAGCAACTACATATTAGGGATGTAACGGTATGAACATTTCTTATCACGATTATAGTGACCAAAATTAACACGGTTATCAGTATTATCACTGTATTGTTAAAATGTGCTGGAGCTGTTCAGAAAGTACCGACACATAAATCACTTCAAGTTTTATATTTAAAAATCAACAAACAACAAATAAAATGACTTTTTGTTTGCATAATCACTAAAACAATAACATTACCAATGATGTTTGGATTTTAAGTGACAACTTGACTAACAACAGTTTAATAGCATGTTGAAATATCTAATGTAAATGTTCAAATAAAGCTTTGAAAAAGTTTCATAAAAAGGTAAACCTCACATTTCAACCTTTAAATAAAGAAAAGATATGTCAAAATGATAATTGATTAATAAATGATTATACGTATTTTATCTGCTCCATAAATAATTCTAGATAACTTATCTGAATTGTTTAAATGTGTAGAATCCACATAAGCTTGTTTTTCCATCAACCGATCAAAATTTACAGCAGGTCATGCAAATTCGGTCCATTTATGGCCAGACAGAAACTGCTCACAGGCTGAATGTAAATAAATATAAGTCTCTGTAAATCCTCTCACTGACAGCAGGTGGCGCTGATGGAAAAGCTGAATTAGAGCTGTTTCCCGTAACCTCCGTGGACAAAGCGGTATTGTGATTAAGAACACTTCCTTTAGGTATAACATGGAGCGAAGATGAACACAAAATGCCATCAAATTGTTTCTGAAGTCAGTCAGAACCTTCAGAGGTACATTCATGTAATTAAATTCATTCATATATTAATTTGTATAATTCCCTTAGCACTCTTTTAAAACCTCCCAGCTTTTCCGCCCTGTTTTCACTCAAAACGAAACTACTCTGCTGCTGTGCACACGTGAGACTGTTACTGAAAACTGTGCTTTATGCTGGACCGTATTTATTTATCGCGAGTTGTTCAAATCACGGTAATCTAATACGGTTTTAATGATAATTAAAAGATGAAACGGTAAACATGGGGAATTTTATCATGATTTATCGTCAAACCAGTAATCGTTACATCCCTACTACATATCAAATATTTATGTACCATTTGTGTATTAATGGCTGTTATGATAAATAAAGTGTATGAATTAAGGCAAAGCAAAGTCGAGGACGCGCTCAGGACAGTTCAGACATTACAGTGCATTAGAGGTAAATAACGATATAAATACTGTTCAGTTTCTTGCACAGACTGATCATTATGTGTCTTTACACATCAATGTATCGTCACGAGCTGCAGGGTTTAATTTGGTTTTGTTTGAGTATGTTTATTTTTACTTTCAAAGCCGTGATTATCATTCACTTCCATTATAAGACTGACAGACTGCAACGGTTTGTGTTAAAAATCTTCGTTTGTGTTCTACTGAAGAAACAAAGTCACCTACATTTTCGATGCCCTGGGGGTAAGCAAATAAACATCAAATTTTCATTTTTGGGTGAACTATCCCTTTAAGTTACCTGTGAACACAGTTGTTGACTCGTTTGCTCTCAGACGCAGTGCCGTAATGGTGGTCTTGTGTGCAATTCTTAAAACAAGCACAAGATGGTAGACAGTATATCAGGTATTACAAAATTTATATCTGATTATTGAAAAATGCTAAAATATCAGAAAAAATATTGGGAAAATTGATCATCGGTCGATCTCTCTCTAAGTGTGAAATTCTGAACTTTCTTTAATCCTTTCTTTAAACTTTCTTTAAGTATTTAATATTTAATGAAGTGAGTGATTTTTAGTTTACAATAAAATTTACAATATATATTTTTTTCATTTACAATAACACTAAGTTGCAAATGAAATACAGTAGTATTGTACGATTATGTTTGAATATATAACAGTATTAGTTATTTTAATATATTAGCTAAACTAAATGAAATTTTGAAATGTTGCTTTGGAAACTAGTTGAAACAGTTTCTTTGCATATTTAATTTAATTTCAGGTAATGTTTATTTTTATTTTAAGTTTTCTTTATTGTTTTTGTTTACTATAATAACCCCGATATATCATCATTTTGCTAAGGAATCCATGAACTGATCAAATGTAAACCTTAAATGCTGTGTAAATCGTTTGAATAAAAGCGGCTGCCAACTGCATAAATGTAAATAATGCATTTACAAGCAAAGGTTACAGCGCCACCTAGCTCAGAAGTTAGTACTAGTGGTGAACAGACTATCTGACGGATCATTTCTGTCTGCAGCTTTATTGGTATTTATTTTTTTGACTCCATTTGTTCACAGATATTAATGAGTGTGAAGACTCAGAATTCCCTGCGGGCTGCAGCCAAACGTGTTACAACCTCCCCGGCAGCTTCATGTGCAGCTGTGAGAAGGGCTTCTACACCCTTGACAAGATCCTCTGCAATGGTGAGAGTCACTGCACAGGTCAGAGGTCAGCGTTGTATTTCTGATCCTCTGGCTTCATGTCTGCCAGTCGAGTTTGATCTCCAGCAGCTGTTCCAGGAATCCTGGGATTTTCCTGTAAAAGCGAAACATGATTCTCTCCAGCTGTGAGGTCCAACATTCATATTAAAACCACATCCACACACACAGCGTCTTAAAGGTTCATTATGTAACCGTGTTTTTAAGCTTATAAATCATCAGATGCTGTTTCACTGCCTGTGCCTGGGACTTTATCAACAGGATCATATGATTGTGTGGTTTGTACAACTAGGTACACATGTTACATGCGCTCGTTCTTTCACTTTTTCTCATGAAATCACACCAGTGGAATTCTGGGAATGATAAAAACACAAATGCAAATCTTTGACTAGATTGCAGATCCGTTCTTCATGAGATGCATTCTGGGATGCTGGTGAAGGAGGAACGTGTGATGAGCGATTCGTGATGCATTTCAGCTACTATCTGGTGCAAGTCAAACTCATTTTGAGCATTGAAGCAGAAGCATTTAGATCAGATGGTTTTTAGGTCATGAGGAGCATGATTCAGTGTGTTCAATTGTGATGCTGTAGATTCATTCACTGTGTTCAGACTTTTTTGCTCATGTGAGTGTGTGACGTGTTTGACCTGATGCTCATGGGGTTTATTATAATTAACTAAAACTTATATCATATTAAATCATAAAAAACATTTTTGTTACTGGAAATAATATCAAAATAATTTAATATATGAATTAAAAAGAAGTATAAATGTATGTATTTATATTTAATTATTTATTTTAGCATTCAGCTAGTTGCCAAGGCAACATTTCTCTTTTTCATTCAGTTAAATGCAATTGATCAAATAACTAAAGCTAAATAAAATAAAACTTCAATAAAAACTAATAATTACTGTATAGACAGGGACTTAAAAGGACCCAATACAAATTAACAAAACACAATAGAAAATGAATGAAACTAAACATTTAAAGCAGAATGTATATGTATATTATTTGTATATATATATATATATATATATATATATATATATATATATTTTAT